GAAGATGTTCAATGTCTTTATCAGTTTAACACTTACAGTAGGGATATCTGTTTTTATTCTAAACATCTGTTCTTCACAGTAATCTATACCTGATCAAAATCATAATTCACCCCCACCATTTAAACCACCAAGCATTTTGTGGGTAAAGCCCTTTTCATCTTCCTACCTAGCATTAGTTTGAATAGAGTTTAGGACACATTTGGTACATGCCTGGAGCAAAGCTCTCGACTTAATGTCCTCTGAATCTACTCCAGTTCATGCACATTAAGATTGGTCTGTCAGCTGAATCAATTCACAGTGAGTGTAGATTATCAGAAGATTTGATTCCAAGTCTCAGTGCTACCTGAAACCAAAGCATTAATGTAGATATAGCCTTAGTTAAGATACCTTCAGTGCTCATCCATTCGGTCTTTCAAGGCTACCAGGCTCAAAAAGAACTTGCTTTACCAAACTTTTTAGAAGAATGTTCAGTTCTATGAAGGAATTTAAAAATATTTAGTAAAGAAAAGGTTACGTCCTGTAATCCTTCTGTCCCTAGGAAAAAGACAAAAGGGCACTAACTGCTTCTTTCTACACACTTGCTCTGTTACTCTGGATCTCTTGGTAACACAGACTAGCCAAGATATAGTATCATCAAAATCTTTTGACTCTCATCCGTAAGAATTATGCATAACACTGTACGTTGAATTAGCTACAAAATCTTAACTTAGTCCTTTCTACCAAGGTTCTTCACACCTGTCAAAATGGCAAATGTTTTCATTCATTTAAGATTTCATTCATTTAGACCAGCAGTTACCATCCTAAAACTAGCATTTTGACTCACAGACGAATAAACTGCATGTTAAAGTAACTTAATAGGCTAACAGAAAACATTTGAGTGCTCCTACATTACACATTATCACAGAAATATAACTTTTTGCGTATGCATTTGTGCGCCTGCACCCACAAACATGCATTGTGATCACAGTGAAATGCCCCAAATCTTCAGTTTACTAATATGCTTATGCATTGTATGTTCTACTGTAACTTTTAGTTCTATACAGATTTCTACTCCCCTCATAAAATTATGACATTTTATGAGCTTAAATAGGCTTTTAATTATTTACATCTCCTTTTTTGCCATCTTCTCATTTTCTGCTAAAGCTCTCTCTTTCTGTTCTAAACATTTAAGTTTATAATTCAATATCTTTTCCTCTGTTTGCAACCACTTTTTTAAAAAACAATATTTTCAAGCAAGATAGAAATGAAACTCTTAAAATGTGAGCACTCCTGTTTCTGGAATCAGAAACAAAGACTATACCTGAATAAGATGCAGGCAGGAAAAGAGTATTGCCATAGGAGTCTTCCTTAAAATTCTATAAACTAAAATTAACTTTAGCAACAGAGAACTGTTTGCTTATGTACAAAGAAAATAAAGTAATGTTAAAGCAAATTCAAAAGAATTTGGTACATGTAAATCAAGAAGTATCTCCAGCAGGACGTGAAGGGATAGCCAGATCCACAAAGAGAATCATATGAAACAATCCAGCGGTTTTACTTTACTCCAAATGCAAATCAGCCATGAACAGCAAGGAGAATGATTGCCTCAGAACTCAAATGAAAAATCATCTAAGTTCTTTGTTACAAATGCATTCTCCAGGACTCTCCCTGACCATGACCAAAAATAAAGCAAGTACAAAGTGTTCAAAACCTATTTTTTAAATGGACAGAAACTTTTCCAATATGAGACATAGCAGCAGCTCACAGTCAGGTAAAACAGGTGTTCTCTCATTGGAGTTAGCTTGCAAAACTGTAATTGGCTCAGAAAACTGCTTTATAGGATTTTATTCTGTTAATGAAAAAGTTGTCAGATAACATTAGGAATAAAACAAAAATGTCAATCTTACTGGACTGATAGAAAGAATGAACAGAACCATCAAACCAAGAGAGCAGAAATCTGTCTGTTAAATGGAATAGACCTGAAGAGCTGCACTCTATTACTCCTTGTACCAATGAGGGCTACTCATAGCACAACAAATCACATACCTCTCAAAGTAGTAACAGGCAGGAAAATGAGAATGGCAGAATATTTGTTGTGGGGAAACTATTAATTCATCTGCTTGAAGGTATTACAATGACTCTTTTCATGCAAAGACTGAAAGAGTATCTGTTAAAATTGCACCTGTCTGAAACAAAAGCTTTTAAAAAATCAAAAGACTAAAACAAAATACACTTTTTTATGGAAGTGTTAGAAAATAATTGCAAATAAAAAGATATTTTGGATGTGAGCAGCATATAAATTGTTTCCTGAAAGGTTGGTCTTTACGCTAGTTTTAACTCTTTTTTTCCCCTCCTCCCAAGTTTATCTGCATATAAATTTTTTTTGAAAACAAAAAAGGAATATAATTCGATTCTATTGCGTAATACAATGTAAGCTGCCTAGCGGTAAAAAATAAAATCAAATAAAATAAAATAAAATAAAATAAAGTAATGCAACATAGCATGAGATCAGTCTTGTATTTTCTGTATGTATGTGTTTTATTTGTCAGGGAATACTGAAAATGTTGCAATATTCACTTCAAGCATGGTCAAGACTGTATGAAAAGGAGTACCTTCTCTTGGTCAAAAGTAAATAATTCTGAACAATATTAATAGCTAAAATGAAAACTACTTTCTATTTCACTGGTATAGAAACAATGAACTGGTACAATGAAACAATCCTTTCACCTCATCAGTTTAAATAAAATGTGTACTTACTGCATGAGCAACTGTATTTGCTGTTTGTAAGAAAATTACAATTTCTTTGTGCCAGAATAAAGCCAAAGTAAAACCATTCTGGCTGCAGAGACTCCATTTTACTTAAATGAGAAAATCACATACAGAATTCTTTCTCTTTCTTAGCCCTCTCATTTAATCAGCAACTACAATAATTTTCGAACAAAGAGATGCAGATTTGATCAGGCCCTTGATTACTGTTGATGGATACTGTAAATACTTGTGAGATAATGTAAAACGAGGGCATGAGTGATACTGTAAACAAACAAGAGATGCGACACCATAGATTCCAAATTTAGTCAGGAAAGAAACAATTAAGGAAACAAGCCAGTTTTATGTGAATTTTCCTACGAGCAAGATATTTAAATACAGTCGACTGGATAATAATATTGTATTTCAGAAGCAAAAAGCTAATAAAATCTAGGCAAGGGCAAATGGGTATTGGACATATGAGATCCATTGTGCAAACTACAGGAGTTCCTAAGACTAAAGGTGAGCATCTTATTGGCCTGAGATTACGAACAAATAGCTACTTAAATTATATGTAACCTACATTGCTTTGTTACTCTGTTGTATTTAAATTGGCAATAAATCAGTGTATCGCACATGATAGGAATGATTTTGGATCTAACTTATTATTACTGCATTCCTTTACTTTTTCTGCAACATTTGAGATTGGCTATGTCCTTTATACTTTGACTAAAACCACATAAGTTAGACATTTTAATTCTTAAAAGTAAAGATACAAATCATGTCTCTTGGCTTTAAGTAGCTAAAAAGGGAAATATTTTTTACAAAGATTGAATTATTTGAGCCATTTTAGATTCTGATTTTAGGATGGATTTTATTATCGTTTGGCAGTACCAATTTTTATCTATTGCTTTATAAGACAATTAGGCTAGACTTAGCTGAGCTGAACATTTGAGCACGAGATGCACGACACCTTGTGTATTGCACGCACCTCAGCTCCCTTGATAATCAATTAAGTTGGATTAATCAAAAGCACAAGCAAAAACATTTCTGTGTTCAATGAGGCACTGCCTAGAGCTAGCCAAAGGAAATGCTCAGTATTAACGGCTATCCTTCAGCAGAAACTGAACTGAACGTGTTCATTTATCAAAGGTAGACACCGTTGGTAACCACCATTTATATGGTAGAAAGCTCTTAGAGCGTTTTGCTCAGAAATGTGAAATCTAGCTTCCAGGTTCCTCCAGAACCTGAGGAAAATCAGGCTTCTCCCAACTCCAGGAAATGTCATAACCACTAGACTATAACGCATCCCGGGAGAAAGTGCTGCCATTTCCTCCAGCTGAAGCTGGGTCACTATACAATCAGGAATGTAGGAGTCATAAACAATGACTCCTAGAAAGCACCATCTAACTGGTGCCAAATGATTTGGGAATTTGTTTGGGAGGCAGGGAATCCAAAATGGTCTAATACAGTATCTGTCCCTATATTTTGAATTAGAAAATCATACATAAAGAAATAGAGAAAGAAAGATTTTGTGTGCTACCTTTAATTGGCCCACCCAACTAGAATGCCTTATGTAATAAAATATAGACTTTTTCTTAAGGGTGAAGGCCAAATAGAAGGCCACAAAGAAGTAATAAAGTTAGAATATGAACAGCCTTACATGCAAGCACTACATGAATCATAAGGTGAGTCCTAACACTGGCTAGTTCACATTAAGAACAATTTGATATTTTTCATACCTATGTTATTGAAAGGATACTATGGTATATTTGCTACCATTTGTACTTTGACATGCTTTAATTAGGATAATTATCCAGAAATGGGAGATTATTCTCTTTCACATAAATAGAAACAATGGAAAAAATGGCATAAATGTAAATTTTTCCTTCTCACAGGAATATTCACTTTCTCGAATATCCTATTTCTTCTGGTGGAAGATTTCTCAGTAGAATCATTGATAAGGTGAATGATTTCAGGCCCTTATTCACTCTTCACAGCAATTCATTCTCACTTTTAAACTCTCCGGTTTCGTCTTAACTGTGGACCATGCGTGCCCTAAAGTCCTGCCTCCCTGAATCCTCCAGATGGGGAGCGTTGTCAGTGCATAACACAGTTCCCACCTGTTTGTATATTTGTTTTTCCTTCTACATGAATCTAAGGAGGGTGTAGGATGATAGACTATAAGGTTATAACCAGTCGCAATAGCTGAAAATCAGTCTCAGATCCCAGAGTTTAGCCTATAGGATTCACCTTTTTTTCTTCTGCTCCTCTAGAACCACTCCTGCAGAAGACATTTCGTCATTGGGTATCCACAATACTCTGAAATACCCCCTCCACTGAGGAAATAAATCTACATACATAAGCACTGACAAGACACAGGTATACATTATGGATAACATCTATCTTACCACCTTCTTCCACTTCCTGAAGCAATTTGGAAGTTTCTACAAGAAGAAATCTTTTGAGACCATGGAAAATAAGTGGATATTCTGCCTCATTCATCTTCTATTTGTTTATTTTGGAGGTCACAACAGAGCAGTGTGCAGTGGACCAAAAACTGGATGTTTACAACGGATCTTGGGGAATGAAAGAAGTTATACCATAACTGCCTGCACTCCAGGAGGCAGAGATAACATATAGCTGCTGAAAGGGAAAATAATGTAGCAGTCCCAAATGACTTCCAACAAGTTATGTTCCATCTTACTAGTGTTCTGGTAAAGAAGGAAAAAATATTTTATTTCCTCCCCCTTTACCATGGGAGTAATTTATGAGGTTTTGAAATTTTTTATGTTCTGTCACTTTTGCTCTCCATTCTTGTTTTCTTCCTTTTTTCCCCTATGCCCTTATATTTGGGAGTACTTCTCACATACATTGTCACAGGTTTCATAGTGATTTGCCCATCTACCCTTAATTAGCTTCTCTATTTTATGTTTTTTAAACCAGGAGTTCAAAAACAGAAGTTGCTTAAATGGTTTGAAGTTATTTAACTCTCTGCTACTGGCTTGACTGGCTTTTCTTTAATTCAAGAAAAAAACAAATCAGAGTTCTGACCATCGGTACATTTTCCTCATATTATACACTTTTAAAGAGAAATAAAATTCCACTTCACCGGAACAACATTTTTTCCACAGATTTTCAACAGATTCAGAACATATATCTCCCAGAGTGGCTGGACCGGATGAAATGTAGAGCTGTATGAAGTGCTAATGAACAGCAAACATAAAAAGGAAATTGGCAGCCAGTGAAAATGAAAAAAAAGTTCAGTTATAAAAAAAGCAGCACCAATGTTTGTTCTTAGATTTTTTTAGAATCTGCCTAAATTCTAGTGTTCTATCCACATTATTATTCCCATTGCCTCCTCTTCAGCCGTGTTTTGCCTCCAAAGTGGCATGAAATGTGCCTATGCAGCCTTCTCTTTCCACCTGCCACAGAAAAGAAATCTTGCCTGGACAAGATCTTTACTGTGTTCAAACAGATCAGAAAAAAGCAGACTAGGCCTTGGGGGTTTGTCTCCTAAAGTATCCCAGTAAGGTAGGTCACAAGACAAACCCGTTAAATCTGCTCCGTGAGTTTCAAATGAATGCCTGAGAGGATTACAAAAATCTAAACCTCGATTTAAAACAGCAACAACAACAAAGTCTAAACAAAAAAAAAAAAAAAACAAACCAACAGCGACAAAACAGGAAAATAAAATTCATAGATACGGAAGACTTTTTATAGAGTAACTTAATGGCCAAACTGTGGCTGATGTATAGCCATACAAGACAAAACACAATGAAATAACATATTAAGACAAAGATCATACAGAAATGTGAACTCAGTTGTAATCTAGCTTGATGTAAGAACTCAGCTGCAGCAGCAAGTTTAAAATCATCATGCATCCCACTGGACATGGTGTAGCGCTCTGACTCTTGAGCTACAGATGAGTCACAGAACTTGTGCCAGAAAATAAAGTCAGTGAGATAAAAGCTGGACTGATATAGAATTTTTTTGTCCTTGTGCTGGTTCTATTATTTGTTTTCTACTGTTCTTACTTTGTTGCCAGGATAATTCAATCCAATTTAAAGTAACTCCTGTAGTAAGTCCAGTTATTTTACAGAAATTATGAGATTGCTCAGAGAAGTAGGTACTTCTCAATGTAAACTGACTACAGCAACAGACCTTAATGTGTTAACATGAATCTACTTCTATCCTAATAGAGTTATAGTACAGTGCTAATATGTTAATGGAAAAAGTATAATCATAAGCAAAATCCACTGACATTTGTTTAAAGCACAGTCTAGGAAAATAAAGAAAGGAAAATAAAGAAATGGGTTCTTAAGCTCTTACATAAATGAGTATAACACGGTTTGCATTCAGCAATAAATCACATGTTCTATAGGGACCCCCTCCATCCCATATATTGACA